GGGGAGGAGCCGCCCAGGAACAGGGCCGGGCTCGCCCCGCGGGGAAGTCCGGCTGCCGGCAGGCGGGAGGAGGAGGGCTCCGGGCGGCACCCCGGGGGACCCTGGCACCCCTGCAGGGGTGTCGCACAGAGGCCGCGCTGCTGGCTTTGCAGCCGCCGTGCACAGATAGACCCAGGGCTTTCAAACGGGGATCTGTAGTGTCAACAGCAGGTCTCACCCCTTCTGGGCTGCCTTGCAGAAGACTTGTTTATCTGTAGTTAAAAAACACACAGGAGGGCTCCGGGCGGCACCCCGGGGGACCCTGGCACCCCTGCAGGGGTGTCGCACAGAGGCCGCGCTGCTGGCTTTGCAGCCGCCGTGCACAGATAGACCCAGGGCTTTCAAACGGGGATCTGTAGTGTCAACAGCAGGTCTCACCCCTTCTGGGCTGCCTTGCAGAAGACTTGTTTATCTGTAGTTAAAAAACACACACGCGTGTGAAAGCTAGGAGCTAGTATTTTTTCCAGGGGCACCTAGAGTCTAAAACAGGTTGAGCGCCACCACCTTGGAGATTAACAAACTCTAAGGTGCTGGCCCCTGTCCTACCTTTTGGCTGAGATCAAGTGTAGCCTGGAGATCTTCAAAAGGAGACTTGGACGCAGACCTTGCTGTGGTTATTTGACCCCAGCTGTCTTTCCTGCCCACAGCAGGATGGTTCCTTCCAGCCCTAAACTTCTGCGAATTGGTGCAATACCTGCCTTCAGACTAACAGGGAAGTGGCCTCTGAATCCCACGGGGAGGAGTTATCTCCGGAGCATGTTACTCAGCATGGGAGCAGTGATTCTCTGGCAGGAAGTTGTGGCAGCCCCGAGGCCTTGAGGTCCTTCCAAAGGTGCTGCGCAGTGGGAGCACCGTTGGGTTTGCAGCCACCATTTGCAGATAAAACCCAGGCTTTCAAGCAGGAATCTGTAGTGTCAAAAGCATTCCCCCCCTTCTGGGCTGAGTTTCTTGCAACAGAAGAATTGGTCTTACCGTTTTTCTGTAGTTATAAAAACCAAAGTAAAAGCTAGGAGCAGGCATTTTCCTGGGGGCGCCTTGAGTCTAAAAAGGTTTTGGAGGTTAACAGACCTTTCCTGCCTTTTGGCTGAGATCAAGTGTAATACCTGCCTTCAGACTAACAGGGAAGTGGCCTCTCTGAATCCCACAGGGAGGAGTTCTCTCTACAGCATGTTACTGGACATCTAAAACGGGGTAGGCAAATCCTAGCACAGGTGCCAGAGTGTGGCCCACCAAGGCATTTTGCTTGGCATGCACATCTTGGGGCAGGCAGCAAGAAAGGGGCCAGGGCTGCACTGCCACAATGAGGATTGGGCCCCTTGCGGCACCCCCTGCCATCTGCCTCTGGCACACCAACATCTTACAAACTGAGTTTGCTGGTGTTCTTGACAGTCCAATAACATTGCTGACTCGGATCTAGAGCCGTGATTTTCAGGCAGGGAGCCGTGGTGCCCTGGGGGGGACCTTGAGATCCTCTCAAGGGTGCCCTGGGCTGTCATGTAGGCCTGTGTGATCAATTAAATATCTATAACTTTGTTGTTTTGCCTCTGATTTGGGTGAAACTTGCAGGGGTGGTGGCCCCTGTTGAGGCCACAAAGTCTGCCAAGTTTCAAGAAGATAGGTCCAGGGGTTTGGGAGGAACTACACTTCAAGCTGCTGACAGGCAAAACTCATGACATAGATGACCCACTGTGTGTTAAGGCGCAGTGGGCTGAAAACTGCAGGGGTGGTGGCCCTTGCTGAGGCCACGAAGCCTGCCAGCTGTGTGTGTGTCTCACTGGGGGAGTCTGTCTTCTGGGGCCCTGCACCTCAAGCTGCTGGCAGGCAAAACTTGTGATGTGGGTGGGTGACATGGTGGGTGTGTGTTAAGGTGTGCCCTTCCTGGTGCTGGGGCCACTGCACAACATGGCAGTGTGCCCCAGTGGGGCCTCCTCCTCCCCTACAGCCTCACGGCCGGTCCACCACTTTGTGACAACAGGTACAATAACTTAGCTGGCTCAACATCAGTAGCATCAGCAGCAGCAGCATCAAAGGTACCCAAATGGAACTGTCACAGAGCCTTTCTTTTTATAAAGGAATTGACAGCAACAAGTAAAGATGTTGTGTTGGACATATGATGTTACTCATGGTGTGTGATGGCTTATCTTGTGTTTTTATGTCTATATGTGTATTATGAAAAAAAAAGGGAGTACATAAAAAAATGTATCTTTGGAAGCTTTAGGGTTGAAAACCCCTATGTCAGGCTGAGGAAGTACCTGCAGTTGGTCCTGGATGGAAGGAATAGTAAAGAAGCCAGAGGCTGGCCTGGCCCACAATGCAGACAAGAAAGCCAGTCAGTGAAAATGGAAATGGAAGCATCAGGGGGTGGGGGACTGGCTGGGGTGGGGGGTAGTGGGGAAAGATGAAACATGCAGAGATAGTATTTACTGCTGAGGGCATAAAGTATGCCAAGTTTCAAGATGATAGGTACCGGGGTTTCTGGGAAACTGCACCTCAAATTCCTGAAAGCAAAACTCATGTCACGTGTGTATATTAAACCACAGTGGGGTGAAAGCTGCACAGATGGTAGCTCTTGCTGAGGCCACAAAGCCTGCCAAGTTTCAAGGAGATGGGTGCTAGGGTTTCTGGGAAACTGTACCTCAAACTGCTGACAAGCAAAACTCATGACATAAGTGACACAGTGTGTGTGTTAAGGCACAAGAGGGTGAAAACCGCAGGCGGGGTCTGAGTTCTAGGGCCCTGCACCTCTGGCTACAGGCAGGCAAAACTCCCCAGGTACCTCTGCACTTTCACCTGTGCTGCTACATCCCCCTTTCCCCGCTCCCCCACCCACCCTAGCCTGTCCCTCACCCCCAAAATTTCCATTTTCACTGTCTGGCTTTCTTGTCTGCATTGGGTCTTGGTGGCCTCGGGGAAGGGCTTGAGGACCACCAAGATCTGGGAGATGATACCCCACTCAGCTCTGTTCAGGGGGCCACTGATCCTAATTTCCCCAAGCAAGGCCATCTCATGGATGGCCTTCTGTTACTCCACCAGCCTTTCCAGCATCAGGTATCTGGAGTTCCACCGAGTCTCCACATCCTGAATGATTTTGTGCTGAGGGATGCTCAGCTCTGCCTGTTTCTCTCACAGCATCTTTCCCCACTTGATGCTGCAGTGGAAGTAGCTTGCCACCTTCCTGCATTTCAAAATTGGCTGGCTTGTAGCAGTAGTGGTGGCGGTGCCGTCACCGGCAGCCCTGTCCCCCTCCAAGGCATCCCTCACTATTAGGTGCAGCCTGTGTGCCACACAGCGGATGCCAACAAAGTTGACATCACAGACAGCCTTCACCATATTGGCCCCATTGTCTGTGACCATGAACCCACTGGTGAGCTCGGCCTGCCCAATGAGCCACCATGTGGTTCATGGCCCCCATGATCTCCCTTGCTGTGTGGGACTCATCCAGCACATTGGCTTGCAGTAGAGCCCACTGACAGCCTGACTGATTGCACCAGTGCCCTGTGAGGGAGAGGTAGGCGTGATCGCCACCCCAACTGCTCCAGATGTCGGAGGTGAAGTGCAAGGCTACCTGTGGCACTGCCTTGCGCACCTCTTCCCTCAAGTACTCCCTGCATGCCTCATACAGGGAAGGCATTACCATCCTGCTAAAGGTGGTGCGTGCAGGCACTTTGTAAAATGGGGCCAGAAGTGCTATGAACCACCCAAACCCTGGCTGCTCAACTAGGGAGAAGGGCTGGCTATCCAGGGCAAGCATCTCCCCAATGCTCGGGGTGATCTCGCTCGCCTTGGGAATGTGCCTCCCTTTCTGTCTACCTTTTTCCCACTGGTCCAGGGTGGCCTGCTTCTGCTTTGTGGGGAAAGGGGGCTTTGGAGCGAGTGGGGGACTTCCCTTTCAGCACACTTGCACTGGTGCCAGGCTGAGCAGGAAGTAGGGCAAGGGGGTGCTGCCTCCTCAGATGCAGCACCATGGCCATGGTGGAGAAGTGTCTCGCATCCTTGTCACAGCTCATGTGCCTTCAGCAGTGCTGGCAAATGGTAAATCTAGGATTATCTGCCAGCTCAAAATGCTCCCACACTACACTACTCCCCAGCTTCTGGGCTGAGGGTGAGGATCCTGCCTTATCCCACTCCTCAGCAGCTGAGGCTTAACAGCAGGAGGAGCTGCTTCAGCTGAGCCACTCGCCTCCACAACCTCAGCCTCCTCCGAGGTGCTGCTTTCTGGAGGAGACCTGGGTCTAGGAAAAATTTGAGGGGTGTGGAGCACAAACTCTGATTCCCGCTCAGTCCCCAGAAATGCTTGAGCCAGCGCGCTCAGTATCCCTGGTTCCAGCTCCTCCTCTGGCAGTGGGAGGCTCATGCTGAGAGATGACATTGGGGTGGAAGAGACAGTGATTCCACTGCTGGTGCCTACTTCTGGACTGAGCAGAGGTGGTGCAGGTACAGGGATGTCAAGTGCAGACACTGCTCCCACCTCCTTGCTTCCACTGGCAGCACTGATGTCATGGCTGCTTGGGAAGAGAATGGGTCTGTGTTTGGCAGGGGGCAGCTTGCAGCTCTAGCTCTTCCCCTACCCCCTCTCCCTCCCCTGCCAGAAGACCTGTCACCTGCCTTTCCAGCACACCTCATATTGATCTTTCCTGTGCTGCAAAAGGTCTGTGTGTGTGTGTCACTCCTTTTGTGTTGTGTGTTTTATTCCCTC